GTGTGTGTGTGTGTGTGTGTGTGTGTGTGTGTGGTGGTCAGAGGACAATTTGCAGGAGTCAAGTCTCTTCCTACCATGCGGGTTCTAAGGAAAGAACTGTGGTCTTCAGCCTTGGCAGCAAGCATCTTTATTCACTGCACTACCTTGCTGGCCTAAATAATGTCTTTTTCAAAGCAACAGATAATAAATATATACACTTGTGAGATAAGTAACAATATATCATTGCCCTAGAAAGCAAATCCCATAGTATTCATCCTTCTTCCTGAATCCTGAGGAACTTGAACTAGATGTAGGGAGCAGAGGATGGTGATCTGAGGACGGGGGAGGATGGGGGAAAAGGGCTGCTGGGAGTCAGCAGAGGATCACTGAGGAGGAATCAGCTTAACGAACGATCCTAACACAGGGTCAGCAGAATCAGGGATAAGTGAGTCCCGCCTATTTCCACTAAAAGACTCACTTTATCTTGTCTGTTTTCAAGTGATGTTGGAGCCACTAAGCTCCCTGGATGCTGAATCCAGACAGGAGAGCAGCAGGGAATGGACGTCTGCATCCCCAGAGGAAAGAAGGCAAGTGACTAAGTGGACAGCCCAAGAAGAGCACCATCTGCTGACCCTGAGAGCAGCAGCACCTTGCACTGACTCCTTTGTTGGGCACAGGTTGAGAGTGGTGGACAGGACACTGGTTAGGGCTTGCCATCTGTAACAGGTCAAGTTACAATGGTCTTTATCTCAAATACTGCAGTGTCTTGTCTTTGTTTCTTTCCTACAGACCTCCAGAGACTGTTTATGCGTTAGCACTCCAGCTGTGGTCATGGTAACACTCTGCTTAGAGCTGCTCTGATATAAAGATGGCACTCTTCTAGCTTTGTCCTGAATCTCTGTCTTCCAGCCACTGATTTACATGTTTGTTCTTAAAATAGAGCTTTTTGTTACCTCTACTGAGGTATTATTGATACAATTTCACACAGTTGTATCAGTACATTATACGTTTTTTAAAATGTATGTGTATGCCATGAGTGTGCCAGTGTCTCTGGAGCCCAAAAGAGGGCGAACCATGCATCATGGGTGCTAGGAACTGAACTGGGTCCTCCGGAAGAGCAAGAAGTGCTCTTACTGGTGAGATGTCTCTCCAGCCCTCACTTAATAGGTTTTGATAGGTATGCTAAGCATATGTTTAATTGCCATAATCAAGAGTTAACAAATCTACCACCCACAATGTTATAGTCCCCCAAGAGATTGCAAAATGCTCATTTTTTCAAAGTATTTGCCCCA